GCTTGCGAATTATTTAGAAGTTGCTGTTGGAAAATGGATATACATTTTGCGAGGTTGTTGCTGGCTTCCACAGCTTGTTGTAGTAATAATGCCGGGTTTAGATTTATTGGTTGTTGGGTGCTATTGTTTTGGACAACATTAGCATAGCTAAATCTTGAGCTGGTGGTATTACTATTGAAATTGTTTCTATTTTCTCTGTTACTGAAGGATCTTCTATTATTTGTTCTATTGTACATTTTTTCAACAATGCTTTCGTATTTAGGGCATTTACTGTAATTTGCTGGGTGATCTCCACCACAGTTGCAGCATTTTGGAGGTTCGTCGTTTGTTTTTGTACATTCATTGGTAGCATGGTTCCCTGCACATTTTACACAGCGGTGAGGATGGTTGCACAGTCTTTGACCGTGGAAGAAATCCTGGCATCGGTGGCATTGTGAGGGGCGGTCGGATTTTCTGTATTCTTCTATGTTGATACACATATTGAACAGGTATTTAATATTGTAAATGTCTTTACAGCTGGGGATTTCCTTGTTTAGGGTTGCGACAAAAGTGGGCATAGGAATTTTGTTACCATGGTTTCGTCTATACATTTGAGTAACGTTAATAACAGAAGAGTTTACTTTTGCTAGTTCGTATTGTACATCTTCTGCACTGTATTCTTTTGGTACTTTTTTGACGACGACTCTAAAGGTACGTTCTTCTGGTAAGCTGTATGTGTGATGAGCAATATTTGCTTCTTTTAAAATTGTTATTATGCGACATCTGTCTTCTGTTTTCTTGGTTTTTATAGTGAAGTAATCACCATTATTTCTTGCGTTATAGTCTTTTATATCCTTATCTTGGAGTTGTTTATTAAAATCCTTCCAGTTGAAATTGTTGTCCTTGATTACGATGGGGGGAATTTTGGATATTTTCTTTTGAAGAGTGAAGTCGTCTTCTGGATTGGGGTCATTAATAGTGTGATTTATCCTAGTTGGGGATGGTGGTGTTGTCTTGAACCTTTTTGTTTTTGAAAAAGAAATATTATTTCCTCTGCAATTCTGGTTTAAGGTATCAGGAAAGTTTATGTCCATATTGTTATCCCGTGAGTCATTTTGATCAAAAAATGGGATAGAAGGAAATTGATTTTTATTATCTTGGGCGAAAGTATCAATTTTTTCCGTGGTGGTTTCTGAGAGGACACTAAATAGGGTATTTTCGTTGGATATTTTGCTTTTGAGTTCGAGATATTTATTTTTGAACTGGTTATGGTGGTCATTAATTTTATTCAGGGTCTGTGCGACCTTATGACCTAGATTTTTAAAATTAGCGGAATTTCTCAATAACTCAAGGGTTTCGATTAACATATTTTCAAAAGGTATAGCGATATCATTGATAAAGTTCAAATCTAATTCTTCCTTATCGATTAAGTTGTCAGTGGGGGTGTCGGATTCTAAGTCCGTACAATCTTCGTCCGTTGATTGAACTGTATTTTTGAGGCGATTTTTCCGCTTTTTCTTTTTATACGCTTTGCCGGTGTTAGGATAACTTATATCCAAAATATTTTTGGAAGGGGTACATCCCTCTTTAACAGCGCCGTTTAGATTGGCATTTGAATCCTCAATAGTAACTACCGCGTCCATAGGACTCTCGGAGATAAGAGGTGAAATCGTATTTTGCTGGTCCTGTACAGGACCATTTTGTGATAAATCAGTAGGTGAGGCCATGAAACCCTGGTCCCACCCAGAATCAACCGTCTCTAAACTATCTTCCACAATAAACACATAAAGAACAAAACTTACTTAGGTAAATTTCAACTAACTAGCACAATCAGCGTGCTACCTTCACATCAGAGTCCTGGACAAAAACGGCAGTATTTTATATCAATATATATGCTTAAATTTTTTAAAAATAGTGGTGGTCAAAAAGATTTTAAATTAAGTTTATAAATGGAAGGAATATATACATACCTGCCAACTTTTAATCCCTTCCATTATGATTTTTCCCAGTGGTATTAAAATGGAATAAAAATTTATTTTTAAGCAAAAAAATACGTTGTATTTGAAAAAGCTTAATCTGCCTACCATGATAGTAACACATATTAATATATATGCTTAATTTTTTCAAGAATAGTGGTGATAAAAGTCATCTAAAAATTTAATTTGTAAAAGAAAAAATAGTATATATTTACTACCACTTTAAATATAAAAATAAAATTTTACGCCAAATGCGTAAAAGTTGGCAGGTATGTAGTTGTCTTAAGAACTTACTTGAAAAGACCGGTTGTTTTTTTCTTACATATGCAACTCAACATAAAACAATTATTGCAAAATTTAGATACCAGTTTTTATTTAAATATTTTAGTTTAATTATTTTACATAACTGTGTTGTGTCATTAGTTCTGCAATTTTTAAGCAATTAAAATTTAGTAGCTGATTTGAAAATTCGGCTGCTGAAGTTTATTTCTAAGATTATGTGTTCATCTTTGTTTCGTTAGCGCTCACAGATTTCTTACAAATATTTAAAGTGGCTGTAACTTTATTTCCATTTAATTTACCACATTTTTGATTATCTCCACAAATTATTCAAGACTGATAACTACTGCGCATTTTGCAAAATATATTTTACAGTGGTAAACAATCAAAAACACAATTTAGTAAAAAAATTTTTAGTATTGAAGTTAATTTCACCAACATTTTAAAAACCTCACCACGAAAGTGATGACACTTCTAGATGTAGCTAAGTTGATGTTTAAATGTATGATTCTTGCAAATTTGATTTAAACTTATTTTCCACGCCACTACAAGTAAATGATTCAAAAGTTCGTATAAGATGCCACTTCGGTTGATGCTTTTAAAATGTTGGCGAAATCACCATATAGTCTGGAAGCTTTAATTTTTATATGTTTACTACTCTATAAAATATTTTTCAAAAAACGTAGTAGTTGACAGCCCTAGGTATATAACGGGGAAAACTAGTTTATTTATTTATTTTCCTTTGTTTTGTAATTTATTTAATAATTATAATGATTAATGATTAACAAAATAATTAAATTCTCTGAAATATAACTATATTCATATGTCCATTTAGGATCGACATACACTGAAAAAACTAAGTAATTCCTACATAAATTTGGAGTTAAAAAACTCAAGAAATTGTGCGAATGATTAGCATTTCAAGTTGGCATCGAATCGAGCCTATAGACACACTTTAAAGGGTAACACCATCGTCCCATAACCAACAAAATCGTAACACCATCAATTGATAAAGCTTACACCAAATTCAAAATTTTTTTTACTCCATTTAGTGTTGGAAAGAGGTGCAGAGGATGTGTTGTTGTCCTTTTTGAGTGCTCTGTAAATTTTTGAAAGTAAAAGATAAATTGTGGTATTGTTAGTTTTAAAAGTGACATAATTGAAGACAGAAGACTCCAGCTACATATAATTAGTAAGTTCAACATTACTTTTGTATATATGAAGTTTTTTAATTTTCGATCTATGATGACGGACAGTGATCATAGATTCCAAGACGGAAAAGAGCAAAAGCTGGTAAGAAAAATTTTTCATTCTAGCATTTTTTTCGAAAAACAATAGATTTCTGTAACTACCAAGACTTTTTTACAATTATTGCATATATATAAAACTGCAGTGTATCAGAGAAATTGTGATATTGCTAAACAGTTTAAAAAAAGAATAGGTATTCCGCCCGAAAACAAATTAAAACTGAAATGGTTTTACTCAATCTTTTATTATGTTTTCCGGATTAACCATTCTTCCATAATTTTCCGGATAATCTTTAAGGGGGTCCAGAGCGTGGCACATCTTCAACATTTGTACGACCACGTTTAAAATCAGCAAACCAGTCAATAATGGTCGATTTTCCTGGTGAAGAACCCGGATAACACTTACCCAGTCAAGTTTTAGTTTCTACCGTGTTTTTTCCCATTAAATAACAATGTTTAGTCCTAGCCCTAGTGTTTTGATTTTATTGGGCACCTGGGCCGCGAAGCGGCCCCTATCCCATTCATCTGGAATTTTAGAACAGTTTTGGTTGAGCAATGAGGTAAGCAGGCAATGGAGTTGCTTTTATGAATGTTTCAAGTTCTTTGCTTGAATAACTAAAAAGGAATCAAAAATAAATTGAGCAGCTTGCTCTAAACTGTGTTTGTTTGATTTTGGAGTTGTTCAGAATTGTATCAGCATGAGTAAACGTTATTTTCAGAAAGGTTGATGAAATTATTTGTTTTGATAGTTATGACATGAGGCGTCGGAGGTGAAATGTGCAGGACAATGTTTAATAAGAACACGAAATTCTTTTTTATCCATTGTTTCAATAATATAAATTGGTGTTCGATTAAAATCACTGTAACTTTAAAATGATTCGGCAGATCGTTATAAAATTTTGACACCTTTTATTTGAAGGTTAGGACTTGCTAAACAAAATAATAATTCTGCATTTAGGGAGCCATCTGTATGTCAGACCGGAAACTTATCAGCCGATGTGTTATATGCTTGATATATGTGGAAGTTGCCGATAATCAAAAATTTCTAGATATCAATTTGTTGCTATTTGTAAAGAAAATCAGTGGCACAAGTCGGATTTTACAGCAGGACAATGGTTCCCTTTATGTTGAAAAATATTGATGGTTGTGGTTTTGGGAAAACAAGATGCAATGTTTTTTTCCCTTAGCTTCAAGCACAAAGAAATGGGGGGGGGATTACTGACCTCAGTATAAATGTATATACCAAAAAGAAACAGTTTTAGTTTGTGTCCAAATTGAAGAATGCCATCATTGAAACCTGGGGTAATAATGATGCTGAAGTCCTCCATGGTTTAGTAAATGGTACTCCATATATACTCCAGGTTACATATAAATATGAAAGATTGCTGGCAATGAGACATAAAACTTTAATGTTAACGTATTTGTTTAGGTGTCTGCCTTTCGGCACTTGCCTATTCATCGCAGTTAAATTGCCAGCAGGCAACGCAAGAATTATACAATTTTAAAAAGAATAACTATCTACAGAAATAAAAAAGGAAAAAGAGGTTTAACTCCTTGGGGACGGGTGATTCAGAAAAGTATTCGTACAAAATCAGAATCAGGATGTAATTAAATAAAAAACGGTAACTTAAATGTACTCGTTGCTAATTTGACAGCCTTACTTTGCTTTTACTTTAATTCTTGTTAGTTTAATCATATATATATATAATCAATGTTAATTCAAAGTATAACTAAATAGTTTTATTTTGAACAAAGTAATGGTGAATTAAATACATAAATCAAACAATTATAACTCCGCCCACAAATAAACTGCTAAAGAATTACTTTGATTACCAGTTTTATCTTCTTACCCCGGTTGATACGATTTTATGCTGGCACGTATTTGTGACAATCGGCGCGAAAGGGTTAATAGCAAAATTGAAATACTGGATTAAATGGCACTCTGTATGTACAAAACATCGCAGATAAGACTAAAACTTTCTAGTCCTAGTTGTTTGATTCATCATGAAATTTTAGTGCTATTTCAAATTAGACATGGAAGTAAGTAGGCAGAGGGGTTGCATAAATAATGTTTACAACTAAGTGAAAATTTATAATTGTTTGAATTACTTAAATATAGTGGTAGAATTTTTTTTTAATTGTTCTTTTTTCAAAAATCGGAATTATATATATTATTATAAAAAAATTTCTAACACTATAATATATTTTCTCACGAAGCGCAGCAACTTGGCACCTTTGAATTAAGTAAACTGAGAAACAAATCATTTTACAGAATGAAATAAACAATTCCTAATACCTAGGGGAAAAGTCATCTTTATGCTTAAGTCCTGAGTTTCAAACTCGTGGTATGCTGAAAAGTTTCTCATCAACCGCTAGGATCGCTGCTGAGAATTGTTTCTAGCTGGCTTAGAGACTGGTTGGTTAGAGCTTATTTAGCTTGAAACTCACATAAATTATTACAAAAAAAAGCCAACAAATGTCATGATTTGGGCATGTATGTCTGCAGATGGTGTGGGTCGAATTCAAGGGATTGATGGCATCCTGAATGCCAAAAAATGCATCAAAACTGTCCTGAAATCAATATTGATATCTTCCATCAGGTATCTCTTCCCCAGCAACGCACCATTTATTTTTCAGCAGGATTCAGCTCCATGCCACACAGCAAAAGTACGCAAAGCATGGTTTCAAAATAAAGGCATAGATAGATTACCATGGTCAGGAAACAGCCCTGATCTCAATCCAATTGAAAAGTTGTGGCGACGTTTGAAAATTCTTGTACGAAAAAAACGTCCATCCAATAAAAAACAACTTATTGAAGCTATATTTCACTCTTGGCACCATGTGATTACGAAACATGAACTCCAAACACTCGTTCACTCGATGAAAAGACGCTGTGAAGCTGTCTTAAGAAATAAGGGTTATCCTACTAAGTATTGATTGTGTAAGTATCACTTTAAAAAAATGCAAATCTAAGATAGATCTTACTATTAGTTGCACAACTTTTTTTGTATTACAGATATTATAATACTGTATTTATTATTAAATTTTGGATTAAATTACCTTCAATTTGATATATAAACGTTTGTATTTAAGTGTAAATTAATATATTCTACAAGTACTCAAAGTTGAAAAACATGAAACTTTCAAAAAATGTCCACCTACATCCCTGTTATCATTGTTGTATTCATCTTTAATAATGCAGTCATAAGCCATGATATGTTATAAAAAGGTTTATTTAAAGTTAGGC